CCGGATCCCCGTTCCGTCCGGTGTTCACCAAGTTGTTATACTCACTGCCGCACTCAAGCATACATATTATTATTTACATTACTCGCCCATATGCGCATAATATGTTTTCTTTTTATATATATATATATATATATATGTATACATACTATTACTACTATTCCTTCGCGTATATATATATATACATACGAACACATTTTGCCACACACGCGCGCACACACACTATTGCTATATGTGTATTCGTATATATACAACACATTACACATATATTATATAATCGTGTTATATGTTAGTGAAAGAGAGAGACCGGTAGATTATGGTAGGTCAGCCTTTTCCGTGAGTGAATGAATGTAAATAGATGGCGCGCCGCTGCCGGCCCCCGACCCCGCCCGCCCTCGTCATACCCTTTCTTTGCGATCACGACTAGCACCCCACCACCACCATAGATAGATACCACATATTTATAGCGTTTATACATTTATACAATACTTTATATAAAATAAAGCATCAGTATTTAAAACTCACCTCTCGATCATTTCACTGACCCCCCTTCGACGACATTCTTGCATTTGAATCGTATCATTCGATTACCAGCGCACCGAACCATACGGTTAAAGCGATTATAAAATCGCATAAACTGTATAAGCATAACTGTGTAAACAGTAATTTCTTTGATTGGCAACAATCGTCTACCATAAATTCGAGAATAGATCAATTACTATTTCGCTACAATAGCTTGGAATTCAAGAATACAGAGCACCGTCTCAACGAACGTTTTCGAGAACCCAATGATTTGCAACGATCAAACAACTCCAAAGAATATCGAGTCAATCTCAAAGGTGGTTCGTCGCTTTCGAAAGTTCACCTGCTCTTGTGAATTATCGAACAGCTTCAGCGACTTAGCGTCATCGAGACAATTATTCGAGCCGATCCCTTCACGGTACGATGATCCACACAGATCTGCATCAACCAATCCATCTGAACAGACGGAACAAAAGGCAGCGAGGGGAACGGAAACGGAATTTGCATACATTAATCGACGTCCTGAAACTGCCACGAAATAAGGTGAGACTATTAATAATTCATGAGGGATCATTTCAACAGGATTAACAGGCCAGGTCCTGGCTTCAATCTTTCCTCTGAGTTCCGAAATATGCAAACGTACCCGCTGAATTTCATAAATAATTCTGTTAACGCGAACAGCCACGCCAATTTGTCGATAACTTCATATCGTGTCTTGTACTAACATATAACAAACATTTTCTCCAGTTCCTCCGAGGAAGTTGAACTTTTCTACAGTTCACCAAAACCAGTTCGTTCCGCGGTAACTGGTAATTAATCATCGGGTATCTTTACTTCCGATTCGTTAAACACCGACGAGGAACTTTTGCAATCATAAATTTCCATCAGAAGCCAATACTCCGGACAAACCGTAACACGACCATTTTCCTCGAGGCGCACGCGATCGGAATCGAGCGAGCAAGATTTCCTTTTCCCTCCAACCCCCACCCCGTTCGGTTCGTGTCACCTGTTCGTTTAAGGTAGCAGCAGCCTCTAACGAAACATTGCCGCTTCGAATCGACCGCCTGTTGCTACGGTGCACGGTGCTGCAGGCATCTGGTTTGCTAATGACAGATTTGTCAAGAGTCGTCAGCTCGTTAGAAAGTTCGACGGCGTCCGAATCGAAATTGCTCGTCCACTCGCCTAATGATGTCTCGCGTGTTTCCGTCCGTTGAGTGAAATTTTCACCTTCTGTTTCCAGTGTGGAATTTCCATAATCGTACGGTGTCGAAAATTCTCCACGAGTTTCACGAACTTACAGGTCTACCTGTCGATTCGCTTCAAGAATCTGGGTTCCCTGATTCACGGACGGATTTCTTACGAACGCTGGATCGATCTACTGCAAGACAATTTAATGATTGAGCGCAACGCTTCACCACCGTCCCAAAGGTACTGTCCTAGTCCACAATGATGGTCTTTCCTCCAGCATAGTGTATTCGGCAAGTAGTAATTGGTTCACTGTTGATTACAGAGGAAACAGTCCGACGCTTTTGTAAGCCGACGACGAATCGATGGTACGCGACACTGTCAACCGAAGGGACAAGGACGTTTTAATGGTACAATATCCAACCCTCTGTACGCTCCTTTTAATTGAACGTGGTATAGAAGCTTCACGAACTGAAGTCGAAACTGGAACGAGCCACAGACCCCGAGCTAAATGATCTCGCATAAAGTCTGCCTCGGAACTTCAACCCCCGTGTTGATGAAGATACCAGTCCAGGGTCTTTGACCACGTCTGCATCGATCCACATTGGAATCAGAATATTCCAAAAGGAGTTTATGACATCGAGAAAGTTAAAAAAAGAATGTAGGTATGTGAATGCTGTAATTCCAGTTAAAGTTCATATCCCCAGAAAAGATTCAGATAAACAAACTCTGATTTACGAAAACTGTGCACACTTGAATATACTCAACTTTTATCTAACACAATTTTTGTAATGTTCAAGGAAGTTCCTGAAATTTCGTGCCGACAGTTGCGTGGGACAGCGTCTATTTACAGTATAGAAAGTCGATCTGCCTGCACAGGAATGCTAGAAACAGAATTCTAAGGAAAGATTCCCAGAAACAATCCTTCGTACAGCAGCAAATCTGGATTCTACATTGAACTTTCAGGCACCGTATCCTCGATCTCGATCGGGAAGGAATTAAATGTGATCGTCTAGTGCTGAGCCATCATATTCGATTTCGAAAAGAGGGTTCGAACTTTCCTGCCTCGGTCGGCCACAAATACGGCTCAGTCGCAGTTAAAGGGGCTTTAAATCTCTTCCAGGCACCCCGAAACCGAGCGAACCACGATGGACCAGGCTCTCGATGTTTCTGCAGTTGACCGCGAATAAAATAAAAGCCATTGAATGCGTGCTAACCTGCGGTCTCCGTTGGGAATCACTTTGTGAACGGCTGAGACCGAACCGACAATGCGATGAACGAGACGAAACCATGTCGATATACCAGAGCAATATTTTCGCGTTTATTTTATTGTTCTCCTCGGAAGTACCCGTTCATCGATTCTCCATAACCGTATGTCACACTCTGAAACGAAAGCTACTATGACGATAAAAATGACATTTCATTCTCGTCACGCGTCACCGTTGCAATTCTAACGTAACTTAATAAGACATCTTGAGAGGCAATTAACGGAAGACTCTAAATGTTGTGTAACTTTTTTGTGTGTACTTTTTCCTTACGGATTGAAAGAACCTAGTGATGCTTTTAACGAACACAAGCAGAATCGCCTGTTTGAGTTGAAATTGACCATCGAGTTTCCGGAGTCGGGTCATCCCATGAACCAGCCCATTTAAACGAGCTCCAAACAACTCCTCTTAAGCGCGTTATTCTTCCCGGACGTTTCCACGGACCCGTTGCCGTGGCGTATACTCGTCAGAGATAGCTTTTCGACTATGGATGCTTCTCTGAGAATTGCAGTTGAATTTCGAAGGCTTAAAATATTAGATCGTTTTAATTGTCTGACTGTTTGGTAGAATTATGATTGAATTAAGGTGGCATAATCGGGAGGAAGGTAATTCTCGGAAAAGTCAAACGATGTTCAAAATGGTGTCCAAAAGCTGCAGTACAATCGTGTAAACTGATGGTTAAGTATTCGAAAAGTGTGTCTGTCTACTGATGGATATTTCTACTTGGATACATAGTTGATTGATAGTTGAAAAATTTATGTTTTCTTTCAGTGGCCAATGAAGTCTAAACAAGCTACGTTTGATCTGTCATCGTATAGGAGTCGCAATATTGAAAATAAACGATAAGGAGGAGTGGAAAATCGAGCCGGAGGAAACGCGTAAAATCGAGAGAAAAGGACTCACGTTTGGGACAAAGCGCCGTACCTGCCATCGTAATAAAATGAACGGTATAAAGTCAACGCAATAAAAGCTACCATTTCATCTTCCCGACGATAGTACCTCAATATCGCATTTGAGGCTCTAGAACGCGTAGTTAAGCATTTAAGCGCTGTTTGATCGGAAATTGTCACTATTAGTAGACGTACAACATCGATCAAAAGAGTGGTGTCTGTAAGAAATGAGTAATTTCATTATCTAGATAAGGAATTTTGAATAACGAATGAAAAATAAAAAAGAGTTTAGTAAAAGATATTAAAAATTGTGGAAATTCCAATTTTTATAACAGAATAATATTTCTTCTTGGATGAATAGACACGTAGCAAACACTGATTTAATCTTATTACATTCACAGATTATGAACAAAATTACCATAATTCCTGTACAATTTTACTACCAGAATCTTTATCCAGACATCAACGTAGACTGTAAAAACGGTAAGTGAAATTCAGTGTCACACTTCATGCAAGATTAAATATTTAGTCCAAAGAAAACAGACTTTTTATACTTAATTGTAAATTTAAGCTACCGTTTTGTGTATGCTAGGTGTAACGAATGGGACGAGAAGAAGAGTGGAAGAATAACGGATGCAAAGTTTTCTCGGAGTAATTCAGAAATCGTAGAGTACGGTTTCGTAATTGCCGCCAACGGGAAACGAAGGAAGAAGGCTGGCGTAGCGTCGATCAGGCGTGGTCCTTTCACTCTCGGGGGTGTGCGATTCCTACACGAGTTCCCAGAAGAATCTGCTTACGAGGCGTACGGAGCCGAGGGGTTTTGCGGCCAAGGTCATTTCGTCACTGAATCTCCGATGAGACCGACTGCTTCATCGAACGGAACTGCGCCTGTGAATACGTTCCGATTCCCACTTCGATGTCTGCGGTACGATGCACCGTCTTTGACATTGGATTTACAACTACGAATCGAACACGTAACTTTACTCTTCTAGCGATTTAAATATACACATCTAGAAATTGTGCGTTCATTAAATTAAAAAATTTCTTTTCGTTTGCAGAATCGAAACCAATTCCATGTCAAAATGTCACATTTCAAACGTCAATCGACTGGGTTCAAGTAACAGTGAACAATAGTTATTGAATATTTTGAAGGAAAGGACCCTCTACATAAATGTATTTGAATTAAAGCGAAATTAAATTCGACACCTCCTTGCTCCTGTTTCAAACTACCCCTCGAGACAGTGTATCAGTTCATGAATATTCCATAAGCACCTATTACCTTGCCACGATACAAGGTGTCTCGTAGTATCTGGAATTATCTATACAATATTTGTATAGATTAATATCGATACAATATTTTCTTCCGACTAAGGTCATTTTTGAATTTTACAATTTACGAGACACTCTGTATATACTATTTCATCGCGAAGAAGTAACAGCGAACACCGAGCCCTTGAATTAAACTCCAATTACCGATGATCCCTAAGAGAAGGTGGTTTGAATTAATTCGCTGATCATAGTAGGTATCACTTGCGCGATGACGGTTCCGCAGTGTAATCAGCTCGAAGCAGACAAGACGAATAGGTTCTGGCCAATGGAATGGGTCAGCGTTAACGAAGTTACGAGTCCTCTTTGAGTCGTTTCTGCGGTCTTTCCCGACCGGACCGTGGAGAACACGTTGCTCGAAGCAAACCGTTTAACACCGTTCCCAGAATTTCCATAACGTTCCTTGTTGTACGCGACACCCTTTACAGTGCGCGCCTTGCGTCAGTTCCCGTGTCGTTTTGATGCGAAGGAGGTACCCGTGTTCATACATAATTCAGTGTCTCATTTTGCCACCGATTACGTTTCACGTTTACCATCAAATAAGCCCTGGGAATAACACTAACAAGCTGGGTTCACGCGAACTATCGAGGTCTTGGGAGACTTTTAGAGATAAATTTGATTTCTTTCCTTCCTATTTGTGGTACTTTCAAATTTCATTTACTTTACATTTCTTTATTCTGAGCATACTCTGCGAGGCGTAATTATAACACCACCTTAAAATTATCAATTTTTATGTATTGTCGCTCAAATAAAAACGAACCAAGTATGTCGTGTGTGAAATTGAATTATCTAAGAATAATTCATCCAGCAGCCATCTAAATGAATTAAGAACTACCGATTCAGAATATTAACCCAAATCAATTGTATATTTCTCGACTTCTCAGATATCTGATAAACGATTCAGAAACGTCTGCAGAATTCCTGATCTAACCTGTAAAAGTATTTATGCCAGTACAGAGAGCACTACGGTAAAATTTCCCAGCGGTATAAGAGTATTTGAATCCGAAATTGGAAAACTATTCGGACACGTGCGCGACTTTTGCGCTCTGTTCCGCTCGAAACACCTAGTAGGCTATTCTGCTCCCATAAGAATCCCGATGCATTGCGTCCGCTCCGCGGCCGCAAGACAATGACTGCAAATGTCAGTCTCACCATTAGCATTGATCACGTTCAATCTGAACGGGGCGCTGCTCCGTTCCTCCTCGATCGGTACTAGCTACGAATTTCAAGACTCGATTGCCCCCACCCTGCGCCACCAATGTAATCGCCGATAAATTGTCCCGCGACTAATATCGTGCTGGTAACGACGCCAAAGGTCCTGTCTAGTACCAACGATTCTTTAACTTCTGCTCCGACCATGCTTTTTCCGATTATACAGGGTGGACCACGGTACGTGATAGATTATTCTATTGCTAGTTGTACGATCGAAAGTTATTTCAGCTAGTATAACATGATTAAAGTAGAGCTTTGAGATGATTGTATCAAACTTGTTTTCAACCCTTTTTTTCCAAAGTTTTCAAGGTCACATTCAGTTTTTTTTTATAGGTAAACCTGATCGATAATAAAGCTCTTCTTTGAATCATTTTATGGTAGTAAAAAAGAATTTTAAATGGAACAACTAGCAGTAGAATGATCAAAGCTGATCACGTTTCGTGGTTCACCTTGTATATGATATTCTCACGTTAATTCGATCGTTTGTATAAGGATAACAGATGCAGTAATACCGATCAATTCGACTGGTTCATAGAGCCAGTATCGAAAAACAGAGTGGAAACTGAATTTAATCGCTACTATGGTAACGATATCATTTTATTACCCAGACACGACAGAAGTTTCTCACCTACCACGTGGATACCTTAAATTTCAATGATTATTTGGGATTTCACGACAGCTCGAGCTTCATACGACAGGTTTCACGAAACAATACTATGTTCGGTACGGTAATCGGAGCATCGAAGATCGCGTCTTTTCTTACGACTGTAGCGTAAAGGTCACGTTCGGCTCGTCTCTTTCCCACCCATAATGTTAGACGCTCTCAACTTTGCCGCTGCTAACCGATCGGAGTTGCTTCACATCGCGAGGATGACGCGCAGCCAAGCCGCCCACGATTTTTCGTCTGGGAACACGGAGCTGGAGGAACGTCAGCCTGGGAAAATAAAAAATGGTGGCGATGCAAATGACACGATTCCCGCCTGGTTTTAATTGTCTACGTAACGGTGACATTATCAGTAATTTCAGGGGACAGAGATTATTCGACTCGACCAACCGAACTTCATAATTTTTTACTTACTTAAGCCAGATTCTTGAATTCAACCAGTCAGAAGTAAGCAGAAATTAAAATTTATGCACGTTCCCTTCGTAATTCGCATATTATACCCTTGGAAACTGGGTCGAAGCACCGGTAGATTTTCCCAGGAAATTCACCACATCCAGAAGAATCAGCAAGATTTGCACGATACAACCTTTATCGACCGTCAATTACTTCAGATTTTTCATATACACTAAATACGGTCGATACTATTTAGGACAAGAATGGTAATCCGTCACCGTACTACCCAAACGAGGTTGAAGATCACGCCTTCGACAACTCTGTCGCCACGTAAAATCGCAAATTACTCTAATCCCAGCCGCTATTACGTCCCCGTAAACGATTCTTTTGTTCTAAACGCGCGATTAAATCGAAGGTCGCTTTATTTACTCCATCCGAGACTCTATTATCTCCTCCCTTCTGCGAGAACCCACTCGAAGTTTCTTTTTAAGGGATACGACCTCCTGCCTGGCTGTCAGACGCGGCAACAGTTTCTCGAGCAAGTTGCCGAAGAAGTCGCGAATCACCAGAAAGGAACGACCACGTGGGAGGGCGTATCAACAGGGAAGGAAGAACATTCTCACGAATTGCCGCCACCGAACGGAACGATTCGATCCCATTACACCGTGCAACGAGACGACCGAACTTGGTCCCCCGACAAAGGGGATTCAGCACCCTTTGCGGAGCGTCGAAAGTTTCCCAGTTCCCTTTCTGGTTGGAAGACCGCCTCTCGTTACGAAAGTTTCATCCTATAAAGCACGTCGTATGTCGCGGACGCGATAAATCCGTCGACGTGTCGCGTCAAAGGAAGATGGAAATTTGCTTGTCGACTCGATTTCATGGATACTTCGATCCCACGGGACGAATAGACGACGACACAATTGTCCACGGTGCAGGATTCGCTGATCCGTGAACGAACCAGGGAGTAGAAACAATGGCATGGAGAGATGAGAATTCACGGGATTCCTTTCCGAGTGGAAATGAGACGGTTTCTCAACGTTTCGTCGCCGAAGGTCAGCCAAGGGACACGAGTTCTCCAGGGAGGGTGGGTGTGCCGGATGACGGTGACCTTCTTACACAATGGGCTGAGGCGTTCTGCACCATCCAACGGATATGATTTGAAGGGATCACAACCGGGGGGCGCGGTCGAGATCCTAGAAGAGTATATAAAGTCCGCACGAGTCGTCTGTGGGCACACTCAACGATCCGCCGGTCGGCAAGATGAAGGCCCTCGTAAGTATTCGATCGGAAGCGTCGAGCAGTGAACTTTTGTACGCTCGATAGACGGGGAAACTTCGAATGGGGGGCAAGTTTCGGTTCGGTGAACGTGACATTGTGACGGTGATTGTTTTATTCCTTTTTTTTCGGGACAACTTTGACATTTTTATCGGTACCCGTCGTGGATGTATACTTCGGGAAGTGACACAGTCGTGCGTTCTTTTATGGAGTCGGATTCGACGGTGTTGTACAATAAAAACCTGCGCTCTTTTAGTAATATACGTTACCACTTATAAGTATCTGGACATCTAGTTTCAAAATTTGATATAATTTTATTCAGACGTGGAAAGTAAATAAGAACGGCAAGGTTTAGTACTTAAATATAATACAATTAAAAACTTGCATAGCTCAATGGAGGCTACTGTTTTTCTGTCATGACCCTCTAATCGTGCAATGATTCCTTGCTCAAGGTTATTACGTACACGGATAAATAATCCACCATTTTCTTAATAAAGGACAGTAGTGTCAAAAACTGAAAATATCTTATCTTACCTTCGAATTTCCAGCTGATCCTGGCAGCCCTGCTCCCCTTCGTCACAGCTGCACCGCGGCAGCGTCGCGAAACAGTTTGGGGTGGTTACCACGGAGGCTACGCTGGTTATGGAGGTCATCTTGGATACGCTCATGGAGTAGCACTCGCTGGTCCAGCTTTGGGACCAACCAGTGTCGCTGGTCCCCACGTCGGAGCTGCTACGTTGGCTGCTCCATCGATAGGACCAGCCAAGCTTTCTGGATCCATTGCTGGTCCGGTGCACGTTTCCGGCGCTATAGCTGGTTCTGCGCTTGTCACCGCGTCTGTGGCTGGTCCTGCCCACGTTGAAGGTTACGGTGGACCCTACGGTGGACCCTACGGTGGAGTAGATGGTAAATATTTTATTATTTGCTATTCTAAAAATGTCGACTGAAATGAATTGTTTCGATAATAAAAATTCATATCAACTCTTCCTATCTTCTATGGATCACTCTACGCCAAGCGGATCATTTTTGTACACGGTGTCTGTGATTTTGTTCAAATTGACGCATGTCATGAATTCATTGATTTCGAAATTGTTTAAAAAATTCAGACCCTCAAAGTTCGCAATTTTTCCCGATTTTTACGAGTCAATAGTTTCAGCTCCCATCATTAACACTGTTTTACAATAACTTTCTCCGTTCTTCCTCAGAAAATTCCTGGAAATTTAATATTATATGGTTCACAAAAAATTATATAGAATACTAACCGTTGATTTAATTCTTAGGAGTTGCCTACGCAGCACCAGCATACGGTTACGCTGGATATCCAGGGTATGCAGGATATGCTGGTTATGCTGGTTACGCAGGACACGGTGGACATGGTGGGCACGGAGTGGTATTGGCAGGACCAGCGTCTCACGGAGCTGTTCTTGCTGGACCAGCTTCCCATGGGGCCGTCCTCGCTGGACCAGCGTCCCACGGGGCCGTTCTGTCTGGTCCTCACGCTGGAAGCGCGGCTGTGTCCGGTCCCAACGCTGGTTCGGTGGTGATCGCTGGTCCATCCGGTAAGATCACGGCCCATGGAACCGGTCACGGTGGAATCCACACCGGTCACTGGTAAAGAAAAATCTGAACTGCGAAGAAAGAAGAAGCTTTGGAAAACCTCTCGGTGCAACAGATGTCGGGTTACAAGATAATTTAGCTACAAGATTATTTTCTTTGAGCAACAGTTCGTCGAGGTATCACTGTAAACTCGATAATCAACTCGTCACGACGATCCCCAATCGCGAAACGTTTTATACTGGAATTTTTAATCACTAGGTAGCGTACATTTCGACGCAATGATTAATTTTGTATGATATATTTTTAATCCTGTGTCGTAGATGTTTTAGACCGCTGGCTATTTATGCTGTAACTTTATTTCTGATCTCTTATGGTAATATATAAAGATGATTCAATTACAGCCACCCAGTACGTTGTTACATTACGAAATACCATTATTACATCCATTAAGAATACATTTTTCAGCGCGGCGAGGGGCTACTTCGAACATGAACTGTGCTTTATCGTCGATTTAAACTCGTTACGTTCTCCACTTTATGGTACATAAATTAATTACGGGTGAATTGCATGCATTATTCGCCTCTGCACTGACTAAAGGAGCCGCGTGATATACGATCGTAATTCGCTATCTGTGATTCCCGTTACTTTTATGAAATGTTTCCATAGGAAATTAACGTTTTGAACGTTAAAACGAAACACGAGCTTCCTGTGAGACCTCGAATTATTTCGTCAAAGTTGTTTGGTTCACGGCAATTCAAAGAAAGTCTGGTATATCGTTTTCGATCCTACGTTTCGGATTGCTTTATCGTTCATGCGCGACATTTGATGGTTGAACGCTGCGACAATTTAGCATACAAGGAACCGACGTCAACTTGAACCGTTGACACAGATCTGTCGCATTCGAGCGATATATCGAGAGCTGCGAAAAAGGGTAAGGTCGTTAGGAATGTGACTTATGATACGGTAACGTCAGTCCTCGGACAACCACCGCGGCTAACAGGATCGGAATGATCTCTGATCGCGAATTCTCGTAGCGATATTTATCAGTGGAACGTCAAAGTGATCGCAACCTATGGTATTTACGATTCACTAAATTTGTCCAATGACTGCTATGTCAATGCGGGAAGAAAAATTAGAAAATGAAGAATAAATCATCGTCACTACGTTCTTTTCTAACAATGTCAGACCATTAAATTCTTTGCGGTTGTATGACTACCGTGTTTAAGTTCATCGTAGTACTTTCCCTTTAAAAAAGTTTTCAATGCTCTAAAGATCTTCATGGTTGACCAGAGATCGCATTCCACCGACACAGAGTAACAGATCGATTTTTACCAGGATCAATGGACACAGGTGTTTGAACGCGCCCGATTTGAATTACACCGAACCTAAACGAATGTCATGCGCATACTTTACGGAAGGTCGTGCACGGTGCCGAACGATTTACAGCGTTATCTTTTATTGCGCTCGACCGCGGAGTTTATCGTCGGATCAGTATACACGACAATTACCGTGTGTTGCGTTAAAGTTGAACCGATTCTTAGCACTAGCCACGCTGTATCCGTGAACCGTTTTTATGCCTGGGAACAATACCGACTTGTATCTATCGAAGGCGGGGTCAAATTCTGTCTTACTCTAAAGTATTCCTAAACATATATGATTGAAATGGATCTATTCCGATTCGATCATCGAATCCTTTTCGACGCGTTGACTGCCATAGTGAAAAATACCGTACGTAGCCAGACACACTTTATTCCGTTCTTTATGCCTTAAACTGTAAGTATGCCAAAAACTTTGTAACCGTATTTAAAGAATCCATCCTGCATGCAATGTACGTGTCATCCATATTTGTGTGACGTGGCAGTCAAGGTGTTACGAAAATAATGAAAATGAAGATTCCAACACGGTCAATCGAGAATCACATTAAACTGTAAAAAACGTATCAATGGTAGAACGAGTAATATTTTTTGAACGAAGTTATCATGGAATCTTCGCTAAGAAATATGATTCTCGACGCTTTAAAAACCTCACTCGAGCATCCCTAGCAACGGACGATTTATCACACGATTCAGTCGATCGTGAGAGTCGTCGCGATTGTAACCCTGCCTGCATCTTGAGCCCCATCCGAAAAGATTTATCGTCAAAATCGTCAGTCCGGGATCTCTTTCACGTCGTTGCCTAGATGGACGAATATCAGGGAGGAGGCGCGAGTGAGGGGCTCTCGTTCGTCTTTATGGGAAAATCGTGGCCCCAGCAGCGGCGCATCCAGCTGCACGACCTTCCGTTTCGACATCGACGATCGCAATTGCAAGATCGCTCCACGAATTCTCGAAAGGTCACCCTGGTTGCCGCGATCGACCGTCCGTTGGACAACGGGGGCCACAAATGTGCAATAAAACACCGTGTTCTGGTTTCTTTTTAACAGTGGCGCGCGGAAACAACCGCCAGAATGGCTATATAACGCGTTAAAGCACGATTATGTAACGAACGTATTGTAGTAAACATTCAAAGAATCGACTACTGTATGTGCACGTTTTTATTCGTTTTAATCGCGAGCCACGTATTTCGTAAGACGTTGGGTATAAAATGGTAGTTAATGGACACGGAAATATTTAACAATATGCAACGCACGTGTATATTTCAGTACACAGTGGTCTCCGTGAGTGCTTGTTTCCTCTATTCCATTGCGCTTCCCGTTTATGTATTCACAGAAATATTACACGGACTTTTGCGAGGCGTGAATTATGAGTAGACGCTTTCGGAGCCAAGGGTGTTTTTTAACCGGGCCACGGGATTACCACGGTTTCAATTATACAGAATGTAAATGCGTTATTTATTACATGTTCGGATGGTCACGGCGGGCACGTTACCGTGACTGTTAACAATGCTTCCGCGTATATTTGTTGAGAGATAAGGGATGTATTCTATTCTAGGAGCAAATGAGGTAGATTCTCGATATAAATGGCGCAGAAGTTCGTTACTCTTCATTTGCGTTGTGTCGGTTAATTCGCTTAAGCGGGTCGAAATTGAACGTAATGAGCGGAAAAATCTTTCTAAGTTATTGCTAACTTTCTCCTGCTCGATAACTATTTACATTCTTCAGGAATGACTAATCGAAAACGGATTCAGTTCACGACCTGCCTGTAATTACGTGGAACTAACATCTTTTCATTCCATTTTTAATATAACTTGAACATATGTAACAACACTTTATTTTAATAAAATAAATTTATACAGCGGAACATACGTATACTGAATAAGTATAGAAAAATTTTTTAAAACTTGAAGAAAATCTTCATTTTTAAAAGAAATATGTTAATTTTAATAGATACCTCAAGAATCACACACTTTTCAAGGTATTTTTGGATGGTACCCGAAAAACTTGTAAGGTATTTCGAGGGCTAACTTGAATGTCAAAGATTAGGTCAAAATGCAAAATTCTTTTTTCTATGAAAAATTCTTGTTGGTCATTTCTTTAGAAAAAAAAACTTTTCAACTTCAAATTCGATCTTTCCTGAAGGTCAACCTTATCTTCGACGTTTGTTTAAAAATCCTACGAATGTTATACAGATAATTAATTAACGCTTTATACTGTCCTCCACCTCTGTAAGATTTCTCGATCTCTATTCTTTGGACCGAAACGTAATCCACGAGCACTATCCCCATACGTAAGGCCCGACTATCGCGGGTTCGAATCGTAATAGCGACAGGTCGTTTGCTACCGGGGACATACAACTGGATCAATCTCTGTTGACGCGAAGCAAGAACGTTGGATTGTTCTCGCGTTCCTCGCGAACCCCTGCGCACCGTTACGGTCGGGAACGACAGGAGGTGTGGCCGATAACGAGGTAGATACGGTTATGGCTGGATCGTTAATGCTTGGTGTGTTGCCGGAGATCGAGGAAGGTCGATCGATGGATCCTTCGACGCGGTACTGGAACAACCGTGGACGATGAACGCTGACGCTCGGCCTGTGATTCGCCTGGGAATACAAAAGTCAGAGGGAGAAAATAAAAAAAAAAGAATTGGCCGATAGTTTATTCGTTAACTTTGCTACAGGTATCGGGACCGTTTTATGTTTTCGTATGAATACTGCGTCCGAAACAAATATTACGTGTGGATCGTACGTGGGTAAACGAAGATCTGTAGATATTTAAACATTGATCCCGATCACGAGATTTATTATCGCTGTTATTCCCTCCATTCCCGTGGAAACTGTGTAGCCCCCCGTATTCTTTCGCAAACAGGAAACATAGCGACTATTTTTCTATCGCAAATGCGTTATTTATATCACAGGCAGAGTATCTTGCGTGTAAAGTCCATAAACTGGCGCAAAAACGGGAGAATAACATTGGTGCTTACAGTGTACGTCCAGAATGTTTACACGTGGCAAGCGAACGTCGGTCGTTATTCGTGGATATCTACTCTTTACAGGCAATTCCACGGAAATAAAGGGAAATCAGTGTGCTATAATTCCTCGAAATTCGAAAATGCGAGACGCGATCCTTCCTCGATGCTTCCGGCAACTCGGTCCATGAAAGGACAATGGTATATCGTCTAATCGTCACTTACCTCGAAACGGAGATTCGAAATCGAGATCCATCGTGGCAATCTCCTCGACCACGAAGGCCATCTTCGGTCCGTGGAATTTGTTCGAAGATGACTCCAATTAAATCACGGTCGAGCGATCCATCGATCTCACGTTCCACGGTACGCTTCCACACCCCCCCTAACTGATCGGGTGGTGATCGCGCAGGGGCCACCTTGCGACGACGGGCACCGTCGTGATCCCGTACGGCGACCTTCCATCAGCCATCACGGAGGAACATTGCCGTGCAAGCTGATGCTAAGTGAGCTTTTATAGCCGGCACACCGGAGCACGTGGGTCGGCGAACTTATCGGGGGTAAGGGCGGGGCTGCTCCCGCAATCCATCGGACTGTGACGGGGTGAAAAAGCTCGATCCAGCTACGGAGTAGAAGAAAAAAAATGCAAGACCGTGTGTCGCAATCCTTGAAGTCAAATTGGAGACACTGACCGCGCCCAGAAAGACAATCTTCCGCTCGGAGAATCCGGTTAGACTGGCTTGATCCGGATTGAACGACGTTGAAATGCATTAGAGTAACGAATTTCTGAGAATTTGGAAATCTGAAACGCAGTTTTTTTTTTGTAGGGACATAATTTGATGATATTTAGAAGTTAATGAAGACGGGAAATATTTGTTTAACCCTTGCGCACTGTTCGGTAAACTCTTCTCTGAATTGAATTGGGAATGAATTGAAATCGAATTGAGGGAATACATTTGCCTATTGCTAGATTATAATATATGTACGTTATCGGTGTCAAATTAATTTCTAAATTTCTATAATAAGAAACGTAATTAAGAATGAAACATAGGATTCGGGTTAAATTATCCGAACAACGCACGAGTATTAATTTAAGTGATAACGCGATGTGTCTTTATTATATTTACATATTCCCTGAAATTCCAATGGTATTCAGTGCTATCGAACACGATTTCGTGATTGCGGTTGGTGTTCCTTGCAGCTTTTGTCGCAGTGTCTATAAAATTGGAATGAAGAGTCGTCTGTATCATAGGAACGGAGTCAATCGAATTTTTAAGGGCGGTTGCAGAGTTTTATTAAAAAGGAACAATACCGAGAACGATGCATGTTTTTGTCCTCTAAACGGCGTTTGGTAATCCTCTTCCATCGGGTTTCGGGCATTGTAATGGTAAACGTTCTACAGGGTGCGCCCGATACACATTACTTCCGCCAAAATGGACGTGGATTTGTTATCGGAGCCAATCGATAGACCTGTCAGCGTTTCACTGAACTTTTTTTTCATACCGTTCTACAACTTTCAAAAAAAATATAACTCTGCCATAGATATAACTAGCGTCTCTGTTTTCGATATTTCGACGAGTTGTCATAACGAGATCTGCATACAAACATTCAACGACGTTCCCGAATAATTGATACTATACGAACCTAACCTACCAAATCAATTCAGTTCGCGTGGAATAAATATTTGCGAAAAATTCAATTGTACTTCATGTTGGAAAATATAACTATCTGTCAGTGAATAGTTTTCAATATAAATCAAATAAGGTATCTTATCCAAAAGTTAATTAAAACTTTTGATAGACTCTTTACCGTTTAATTCTCATTCCTTCGTAAATTGCTCCATAAAAATGTAAACTTGCGTATACATCGACTGAATAATTAAATAAAGTCTGGGCACAATAGGCAGAGGCGCTAGGAAAAGAATCTTTAAAGAAGAAGAAAGAGAGGATAAAGTAAGAAATGTAAAAAAGACATTACCGTCTCCCACCATCGGTCTCTGACCTGAATGTAATGTCCAATCAAATAGGGGCGACTGTGGGTACCCTGAACGCCTCTGTGAATGAAAAAAATCAGAATTTTATGTGCTCTCGTAAACGAGGCGTGGCATTAAAGTCGCCCTCTGCCCCACGCCACCCCACCCCCTTCCCCCCGAAGAATTTTATACAGAACCCGAGAAACAATTATTGCGAACAATTGCGTCTCGCCAGGTCACCTTTGTCACCTTCGAAAGTGCACGCAACGCTCAACAATGATATTCTAAACGATCCGTGGCACGGTCGGTGATCCATTGCGAGGCTAGGTGCCACCATGATATACGCGTGTATCCGACTACAGCTCTACCACCGTGTCATTCCATGCGACAATCGCGGACTGGGGACGACGCGTGGGCAACGCAACCCGTGCCTCGCCTAAACGGATGCAACAATGCGTCGCGTAATGGCTCGGCTGCCGACACCGTCTCACCCAATTCAGTATATCTTCCTATCGCGAAAACAGGGACACGAGAGAAAGAGAGAGAAACAAGAGAACGAGTCCGGTTCGTCCTGACTGTGAAGGTCGCGATGACTAGTGCCTTCAAGTCGACCGTGATGTTTCAGAGGCTTCGAGAAGACGTTCAGCAGCATCTTGAATGAAACCTGCTACCTCGCTGCTGATACTTTTCATAAATGAAATTAGCTTTAACGAGAGGCGAAAAGGGTTACCGATCTGGTTTAATATAATACTACCCCTAATTACAGAAACATCTGAAATGAAAAACAACAGAAATACGAATCGTATTTATCTTATTATTAAATAATAATTTAAACAATGCATTTACTAAAACGTTTGTTCGACCTACGACACTGTCACCGGAACAGTCGCACAAAGGATCGAATTCTCCTGCGCTATCGATATATCTTTCTGTACGACTGGGCGCAATGCGTTCCGCAAGGTTAAATGCAAACCGTTAAGAAAGAAAAAGAGAAACGTCTCGAAACGGATGCAACGGTTATGTACTGGAGCACATGACCCCTGTAGGCTGCTAGGCGTTAAGCGTAGCCACACGGTGTGTCGTACGAACGCGATGCCGGGTCTCGATGCTGATAAGCCAAGAAACGGCCACGCGCCCAACCCGCCAGAGAATGTTTGGCGTGTCCTGTGCCCCGCCCTTGGGGTTGGCGGGAGCAAGCAGAGACCAAGTCAGAACGCCGACAGTGCCCCTATAAAAGCGCCATCGAAGCCGTTCGATGTCAGCACAACCACTCCAGCCACCGAGCAAACACATCTGCAAGCTTAGCAGCTAACCAAGGACCTTTGACAACCTCCTCATCATGTACACCCTGGTCTTCCTCGTCGCAGCCCTCTCGGTTGCCGCAGCGGCGCCATCCGGCTTGTTGGCACATGGAGCCGCTCTGGCCGGTCCACTTCTAGGACCCTCTGCACTTAGCGGACCCATCGTCGGACCATCCGCCCTGGCTGGACCGGTTGTCGGACCTGCTCGCCTTTCCGGTGCGGTCGACGGCGGTGCTCTGGTGACTGGAGCCGTTGCTGGACCTTCCATCGTTTCCGGTAGCGTTGCTGGAGGCGTCGCAGCTCCCTGGGGAGCCGCTGCTCCTTGGGGAGCACTTGCTGCCCCCGGTCTCGTGTCGCCATGGGGTAAGTGGCTACATTCTTTGGTCTTTTTCTGAGAAGTCTTGATAGACTTGATTAGAGAACGGTATATAAATTGGAAATACAGTAGTATTCTGACCAAGATGTGTCTATCTTAATGGTCGTATGTAACATTTGAACTTGGTTTCGACAATGGGCGATAAATCCAACCACGCACGGTAGCTTATGGCGGTGTACTTTCTAAACAGTTATTTATCGTTGAATCGACTAACAGAATCATATTCTACGAGGACACAACCTGATCTGATACTCTTTTTAATTCAGTATTCAAGAATTTTCTTTATGCACTAGCAATTGTATTCTGGAAATACTTCATAATTCTTCCTCTTAAGAATCTACTCGAGATAATTACAAACGATCCATTTTTAGGCGCCGTGTTAGCCGGTCCAGCGGCAGGTCCAGCTGCCCTTGCTGGCCCTGTGGCTGCGCCAGCTCTTATCGCCGGACCATCTGGTAGCATAACAGCCGGAGCGGTCGGTGTCGGAGGAATCGTCCGCGCTGGTCCCCACTGGTAATCGCCCATCCATCAACGACATCTTCGACTGATCTCCCCCACGATGCCCGTCATTTTGAAACCGACCACGCCACGATCTCCGTCATATACCGCTAGTACCTCCTATCACTGTGTCTTTTATATGTATTCTGTGTACATAACAATACCTCATATATGTTATTATACGTAATAATAAAAGCATGCCACTTTTGAAGAGGAACCGGATTGAGTCGTTTGTCCTGGTGCCATCGACTTCTCTAACCGTCGTAATTTGAGTCTGAGCAATATATCAAAACAGTCTTGTATAAATGTACACTTCCGTAGATGTTGATAAATAAAAGCACGCTTTTTTGAAAAAAAAAAAAAAGAAAGAAAAATTTCACTTATTTTCTCAGAATCCTTCAGTACCTTTGGCGATACTCCTTTTGGCGTTACACACAAAAGGATTCCACTACGATTCCTGAAAATGAGTTTTCGTAAAATTTTGTTGTTCATGTCTGAATTTATAAATCATCACCTTACCTAACCTTGCAGTTCCCTACAGTATCTATAGTCTCTCAAATATTCCACGTGTACTGTATACACATCCTCCATCGATGCTTCCCATCATTTCACAATCGAAGACGGTCGATTTCAGACGATGTAAACATTAGTCCGCCGATTTAGGTCTACTCGATTGGGAGCCATTGTTCTCCGTGTGGTACCGTCGTTCAGGAGGCCATCGACAACGGCGTGGCCGGGCCTCTATTTCGCGGTCCATTGTTCCGTTGTCAACGTCGAAGCGCGCCGCGGAACGATACCTGTCCACCTTTACCGGTAATTGGAGGAAATTGCTTCAACGCCGCTCCAATCAGCCGAGTATTCTCCCTATCGGAGAGGGTCGACGGAACCGGATCCTCCTGATATCCGAGCGTTTCCCTTCCCAGCTTTGTCCGGGAGTCCCTTGAGCGTCGCTACATCAACGTCCCCGTCCCTCTACCCCTCTTTAATCTCCGTTTTCAATCGCACTCTCTCTCTGGGAAAATACGCTTGGAAAGATGCATCGCGGAGCCTGGTTCCGGGTCGCGAGGATTCCACGCTGATTCCGAGCTCTCTAGACGGAATGGAGTGGACCCATGAAGGAAATTATTAGCGGGACGTCAACGAGCATTACCATTTCAAAGGGACCGTCGACGGAGGGACGAGGAGCAACAAGTACGGGACGGTCGTCAAATTGGGCAGTTTGCGGACGAACTGGTTGAAACGTTCGTTATTAAAGTGGCCTCTCGTGTTCCGTATGAAACATGAAATTCAAGTAGTCCGGGAAGCTTCTAACGTTTTAGCACTCGCGCATGTTACACAAACATTTCGATGTTCATACCGCGACGGTGTTTACTTACGATATTACATGCAGCTGGAATCACGGTGAGGGAAGACGATGGACTCTTCAGTCGTTGCTCACTGATGGATAAGAATGATTTGTAATGTTTGAATAGTTGGAGTCGACTTCGTACTGAAACTTTTTAAACAATTTATGCGTCGATGTTACATGGCAAATATATTGGAAATGTGAATATACATTGAGCTTGATAACTAAATTACTAAATAGTAAATCCTAGATGAGTGTTCGAAGCCTCTTCGGCACTGAGACGCAGAGATCCCCAGATGTAACGCTGACTTTTTAATGAGGTTTAGTACAGTGATGGAGATATATTTGTTTCAGCCGCATATGAGGCATTAGTCTATGAAATATTTAATGTTCAGTGCCGAACAACCTTCGAACACTCATCGAGGATGTTTTGTGTTTGCAGAGACACAGTGGTCGTCAAAAGTTTCCGGCCGAACTGTAACTTCAGTATATTTGTCTATGACTTTTATTAGACCCGTATTTATTAGAAACAGAAGAAAAAATTAATTTTATGCGAGACAAATTTGTAATGTCATCAAATCTGAAAAAGCAATGTATCATCAACATGAGTATATCAAGAATTTATTTCTATATGTTAAAATTAGAGTGTACCCAGAAATATTATACAGTATGTGTCAAGTAAATAGACATTCATTTCTCTTGTAAAGTATTATCCATAAATCGACTATTTCGATCGATGAAATCTGCAGTCTATTTATATCATATGTATCCAATGTAGTTAGGGGTTGATCAGAACAATCGATGTTACTTAACAGACGAAAACTTACTTTTTTCTCGGCAATGTACCCATCGATCATAAGTTTATTATCCATCGATCAGTGTCTCCATCACGATACACGATTTATCACAACGATACTCCGTCACGGTTCATTAACGCCCGAAAAAACACTCGTCGCTTGGGAAGCGCGTTTCACATAGGGCCGCAGTACCCCGTTTCAAATCCATGGGAATTATAAGCTCATCCCCGATGGATATTAGCATTTCAAAGCGTGCAGCTTCACCTACGAGAATCACAGCGAAGTGCAACAAGTACGACGAGTCCTTAAATCAAATAGTCGCGTAGCACTCGAGGGAGGAGAGTAGAATTCAATCAGTCGAGGCGACGGGGAAGATAACGATTAATGTCGGTTCACGTAAACGGGACGAAATTAATAGAATTCCGAGTAATCGAGTCACGGGATCGGCCGAGTGTTCCGCGAGATACCTCGTCTCTCTGCGTCGGGATGTAATTAATTCGCGACGCGACTCCACCAGGGGACTACGCGGTGTCTTTCGGCTACGTCGTTTAATAGCTCACGCATACATTGGCGGGTGGAATTCTTCCATATGGAAATAGGTCGTGACCAGTAGCTAGCGGTACCGCCGTGACATTTCCCCTGTGGAAAAATAGGAGGAAAGCCGGAGAGACGCGATATTCAGGGTCAACTCTGGGTATAAAAGCTGATATCCCGGGGTTAATTGACAGTCTCACAATTAGCTCTACAGCCACTACAGTGGAAAACCGCAGCAGCAATCATGAAGTTTTTGGTAAGAACCTCCACTTCCTTTATATTATGGTTGTCCATTTCTTTCTTAATACTGTTCGGTAATTCACAATTATCATGAAAGAACCTGGCCCATAATAACATCTATGCAGTTATTAAACGATACATCATCATGACTGTGTTGTGACATTGCTTAATATCTTTATTCCGATTTGCTTCCATCAGGTTCTTCTCGCAGCGTTCGTGGCGGCCTGCTCCGCAGCCCCTAGCACACTTTTGGCACCAGCCTTAGCAGGAGTGGCCGTTGGTGGGCCAGTCGTAGGATCTACAGTAGTTGCTGGGCCTGCGGCTGGAGTCGTCAGAGTAGCCGGGCCTGTTACTGGCGGAGCCGTGGTCACTGGGCCCGTTGCTGGTCCCTCCGCTGTTGTCGGCTCTGTCGCTGGACCCACTCTCGTTTCTGGAAACGGTCTTGGTGCTGTTGTTGTTGGTAAGCTAACTACTGCATCATGATCTTAGATTACCAGCTTCAATTCTAGCATCAGGTAGAAACGAATAAATAGATTTTCAGGAGTTACAAGTGACTGTGAATAATTAATCTTTTAGGCGGTGGAGTTGTCCCAGCTGGCCTGGTAGCTGCGGCTCCAGCGGTCCTGGCTGCTCCTGCGGCCACGGTCGTAGCTGGACCAGCAGGATCGGTCGTTACTGGTCCAGTGGCGTCTTCTGTCGTTGCAGGCCCAGTGACGTCCGCGGTTGTCGCAGGCCCCGTTGCCAAAACGACCGTGATCGGTGCTTCTTCCTCGGCTGTGATCGCCGGAGGCCATATCTGGTAATAGACCAGTAGGACCATTTATACCTCGTGCCTGACTCAGGACCACACTGATATATATATATATATATGTATATTATTATGTAACTTTATAAATGAACAACATTATACTGTAGTTCCTTTGTGAGTCAATTTACTCCTAAACGTACCCTGTAATATATCCATTTGACTTCACGTGAACCCATTATTCTTTTAAATATGCAACCTCAACGAGAATTTGCGCCACAATACAAATAAATCGACTCGAGATTACTCGATTTACTTTATCAATAGCCTACCCAATATAATCGAACTGAGAACCCACATATAATCGAAAACCATATCCAAGCGAGTTTATAATATTATCCAAATTAAACGGCTGGGTTCGGCTAAACGTTTCTGTTGCGCCACGAATTTCGTTAATTACTTTATTCGCGTTTTCAGAGCCCAACCGATTCACCGGTTACGGAATTCGAAGCGGTACGCCCGGCCCGGGGCGTACGCTCAATACATTACGAATCAGCTACCAGCCAATCGTGGGTTAACTGCGCTCCTACACAAAAAGGCACGTACGAATAATTTTGCAACTGCACACGATTTGCTAGTGGAACGGGGGCTTAGACAACTCCCCGCGCGGATCCCTCTAGCATCCCCCGTCATGAATATTTCAACAAGTACACCTTCCTCCGCGGAACAAGTGGGACGGGCTGGAGAACGAGGAAAGAAAACCTGGGGGGAACTCGCACCTGTGTGCGCGCGCGGTACCGTGGTTGCCTACGCGAAAAAAAAAAGAACCAGCGAAACCAACGCTCGGATGACAATGCAACCGCGTGGCTGACGCAATTACGCAGTCATAATCGGTTCACTGTCAAGTACGGCGTTCGACTGGTCGCCGATAGATAGCCGATCGTCTGTCTTTATTTTTTTCTGTTCTGCGCAGAATACCAGCCAGGTAGCCGTGGTTACGAGAGTGGAACGTATTTTCTCCTCAAGGATACTTAACGGTCCTCCGCCTTACGATTGAATCGCGTGTGGATAGATGTCAGATATGATAATCCAATGTCGGGAAATGTTTCGCGCAGCCTTGACGACAAATCAATGCGAAATGATTGATGATCGGTGTTGACGGAGTATGCTTGGAAGCAGGATGAAGCTGAAACTGGAGGGATTCGGTCGAGTACACTTCACAGTGCAAAATTGCAATCAGAATAAGTCCTTGGTAAAATATATATCTACAGGGTGGCGTGTAGTTGATGGAACAACCGAGCATGGGGGTGGAATATGGAATAAATTTTTGTCGTAAGACATTATTTTCGGGAGAATCGACTTTCAGAATCTGCTGAATACGCGTGTGATTGAATATGGGCATATCTTCAAAGTCGATTTTCTACTATAAAAAATGTTATTCTGTATTTTCGACTTACTTTTTCACGTAGAACCACCCTCTACCCGGTTGTACCACAAGTTACACGAAACCCTCTATAAAGAACTTTCTTCCGTGTGAAATTAACAATAAGAAGAAACTTTACTACATCGCTGTGGACTACAGGTGTTAGTTCTTCCCTAATATCAATTTTTCCAACCTAGCTATATATACTCAAAATAACTGTACTATAGTGTTCATTCTGTTCGGATAATCAAAAACGACATGATCGTCCTCTGATCGTCCTCACTTTTCGTAGGAAGATTTCCAGACCGGGAAAACACGTAACAAGCCTGTTTGTGTGAATGGAACGAAGAGCGTGAATTTGGTCGGAGCAATTTCAAATGGTCGAATTAGTTTCAGTGTAAATTGAACGTATCAGGGGCACCCTGCGCCAGTTAAATACGTCGCGCTGTCGATTAATTAAACGCTATTTTGTCCTTCAAACAGGACCAGGCGACAGTATGTTCAAAGGATCGAGGGAGGGGGGAAACGAGCAGTACCACGACACAATCAAACGCGCGATAGACTCTATCGGTCTGGCACGCAATATCGCCTATGATGTCGCGTAACCCAGGGACGGTTTGCATCCACTGCATCGCGCGTCAACCTATTCGCGTTTAATTCGCCGTTCGCGTGTCCACGCTACCAGGCATATACGTATACTACACGCGAGCGAGCGTTTCATCGAGCAGGCACCGCTTATCCTAGGATCCGTTCGCTGCGGCAATGCGCTGGTCCGCGGTCAATGTTAACGTGCTAATTGTTCCAGCCGCCTAATTATGGTTGGACGGTGTCATTTGGCAAATCCACATTCGGCGACAGGAATTGCTCCTTAACACATTCGGTACCGATGGGAACAGTAGTTCCAAACATGGGCGCCTTGGGTAGTGCCCAGACCCTTCCAATCAAATGCCTGTCTTTGAGACATTGTGGAGCGGATTCATATGTCTTGTGTAGCCATAAGTGAATTTATGTACATCAGTGGTATGTAAAGGAACAGTTTGGTAATGGTCGGATATGGTTTTAAATATTTCAGGAGCAAGTATTTTTACATTAAGGATTTCCTGAAACGACAAATACCACTGTCGGATCAGAGTTATAGTTCCCATTCGAAAATGTGATTAAAAGAAACATTTTTATTGTTTTGAATGTCTTTTGAAATAATTGTAATGACATGTTGATACTGAAAACATAGAAAAATAAACATTCATCAGAATCCAACACTTATCCTCATTTTAATCACTGTACTGATTCGAATGTATTTGTGTACAGCTAGCACTAATCGAAGCGTAGTAATAATTTGATCGTAATTCCATCGGGCTACGCCAGATGCATTAAAGTTATATTTCCAACTCAGCAGTCCGATAAGAACGATCTCACGATGCAGTTTTAATGAGGCGCGCGGATCTGATTCGACGGGGATGGATTTCATGAAGCAGAAACATTCCACTGAATGCATCTATTCACACACTTGCCAGTCCCGGAAAAAAAGGTAGGTTCAGACCAAATGGAAGTTTGCAGCGGGTAAAGATTAGACGCGATCCGATGTTCCGTGCACCAGCAAACTTTCGATCGACCTGTTCCCGATTCTGGGCAAATATTAATAAAAATTCACGAGGTTCGGTACTCTTCCTAATAACCTGCTCGCTCGATTATCCAGAATTTCATTCCAAAAATGGATGACGCGCGGTGCCAAGTCTTTCTGAGATCCAAAAGATCGTTCGTGTGTGGCATTGTCGATAGAGGAGATGCAGCATCACGTGAACGGGACCAGAAACTTCGGGATAATCGGTGGCCTTTAATACAAAGGATTGGCGAACCGTTGAATGAGTCGGATGACTGTTCTTCAAAAGGCACCGCCTCTCACGAACTCGTCACAAAGGGTCGAACTTTTCAATATCTCTGGGTCGTTGTGGTCTGTGAAGCGATTTTCGACGGACTCTTGGGATTTCTGATCGCTTCGCGGTCCGTAGAATAGGTGAATCCACGAGAGGGCGTGAATTTGAGAGTCCCTCCCATACAGGGTCACGTAGGCAAAGTAATTTCGAAGGGGGGTGGAAGGTGAACTAGGGTAGCTGAATTTTACTTCGGTTTTGACCGCTTAGCGATAAATTTTAGTGGGATAATTTATTAAAGAGGTTCCTAAAGGAGGACATGAAAGGTATAATACACGAATATAAAATGGTAAAAGTATCGATCCAATTAGAAGTTGTAAAAATTAAGAAAACTTATGTTAATGAAGATATTTAGACTATAACAAAAAGAGGACCTTCTGTTGCGATGATGTTCACGAGAATTATTTAACTGATGATCGTTTTCCGATGAACGAATTCATGTTATCAAGGTAGTTGGAAATATACTGGAATGGACTGTACATGATTCTTATGATAATGACATACTTGATGTAGGAGTAGACTCGTTCGTAGTTGTTTCCAGACTCCCCTGTTGTAGTTTGTTCAATTCTCTCCTAGTTTCACGCGTATTTCTATTGGTTGATCGGTGTATCGTAGTGCCGGATGGATTTATGCATGATGGGCGTTCAGTGTTTGCGTGGGTGTGGCAAATATGTTAGGAATTGTGGAAGGGAGAACAATGTACCGAAGTTCCCCTTTCCGACATGGACCAGGAATTCCTAGAAACCATCTGCAAGAAAACCCCGTAAATCAGCTAAAAATCCTTGATTGCCTTGCATGTGTTTTCAATTCTCCAAGAATCCCAGGATAAAAAGAACCACAACTCTTCTTATAAAAAACTACCAACAGTCTAAAAGTGTTACTGATGTACATATTTTCACCAACACAATTCCGAACCGTCCAACCCAGAATACACCTCACCACGATTACCACCGTACTTATTTAAGCAAACTCCGCACCCTTCTTCGGAACATTCCGCAGACATTGGTCACCCCCCAAGTTTCCTCGATTAATCTGTCCCTGGGGTAGATGTGCTTGGAGAAATTCGCGTGTTGCACAAGACACGCACGGTTTGGTTAAAGTGCCGAACTATAAATTCGTCGGGGCAATAGCTTTGCGGGGACCACGGGAATCGCAACTTGACAAATCCGGCGCGCGCAATTACGAGCGACGCGAGTCGTGCGCGGCGTCGGGATTCAAAGGACGGATTACCCGTTGGACATCGCGAGAAAAATAGACCAGTGGAACGCAACCCCGGGCGGGGAAAAAACGCTCGGCTGGTCGGTTCCGAAATAAAAGGGGGGCCTTGCAGAGCCCTCACAGGCCGGATTTTATTTCGCTTCGGCCCGATGCATCGTCCGATCCGACGCTCGTTTACTCTTCGCGGCTCGGATTCTTTGTGATCGACGCGCGTCCATTCCCCCGTTTTACAGCTGAAAATCAGTTCCTGTTTTCCCTTTCTGCGTTTGCGAACACACACGAGGGCGCCGAAAACACGGTCTTTTCGCACTATTTTACCGACGGACGCGCGGCGATTAAAAGCAGACACCTGAACGTATCCCATGGCCGTTTCAAAGCTGGCTGCAGTGACGGAAAGCTGTGTAGTATGGTGGGAAAAAACGGTAGGCTTGATGAATCAATTTTTTTGTCGATGTTGAAACGATTAGACGAAATATTAGATGGGATTACGGAAGAGGTTCTGGGTACCAACGTTGATGTTCAAAATCACTTGAATGTCATAATTTTATCGATCTTTAAACTTTGAGCTTGCTTCGTGTTCCAAAGCTTAATATGAGTTAAAATTGTTTCCTATGCATTTACACCTATAAGACACATTCGAATCATCTATTTCCATTCCATATTCCTATACCAGACATGCGATAATGATGATACCAAAAGCCACTCTGACAGCGTACGCTTATTGTTCCCATTGACTAATATAACACTCTGTTGTCCAGGAAAAACATATTCCGTCGCCGTTCGGCCACATGACAATTGCGAACGGTCGAGTTCAGGAGAATTCCATGATTTAACCCGTAACTGCTGCAGCGAACCACAATTATTAGTGTTCATCAAAAGGTAGAGCTCGGAGTTTCGGGCGTAGGAATGAGCTCGGGACTAGATCATCAGCAAATTCGAGGCGATATGCATTGCTGACCACCGGGAAAATTCTGTTCCCCGCCTCGTTTACGAACGACCGTTATTGCGGTAACAGGCGGTCGGCCGGCTGATTCGAGGCTGAAACACGTCCCCGACGGTGATAACAGCTCCTGGCCGTGACGTTGGACCCGGAACTTGCATCGCCCACTGCAATCCCGTCGTCCATCGGTGGACCGCACCCTGGCTCGTTTGTTATTCCTACTTTCATGCGGGGTTGAAGGTTGCGAGTCGCCCGATTCTTCATTGTCGCCGAACGGGTATATAAAGCATCGTGTCACAGGGGGTTAAGCATCAGTCACAGCCAGCCTGAAGACTACTACACGAACCATCATGAAGTTCTTGGTGAGATAATCCTTCGTTTTTATTCGTTTACCGAGAGATTGCGTGTACCGAGTTCCTGAACTTCTCGAAAATACGAACTTCAACCCCTTCGCTACGGTAGCGTTAGCTATGTTACGATTATGCATTACGGCAATTATAAACTACGATTAGCAGATATCACGCTACGGTCTTTAATTACTCTACTGTTTGAAATTATTATATTGGGAATGTACTTTTTTGTAATGGAAAAAAAATGGAGTTCACATGAAAGCAATGTTCATCTTAAATTATATTTTGTCATCATTTAAAACCTTGCATAGAGCATACTATAGCATTCGGGACGAAAGGGTTAATTGCAACTGTGCTTTAAATGTAAAGATAGAGATAAACTATCAGGGGAATGAGATTTGTTCGTCGAACGGTAATAGGGCATTATTTTTATCGTAGTAATTTTTAATTGTATTTTTTATCGAAGAGAAACTTGTGAATTAATTTGACTGCACTGGTTTACATGTATCAGGTGTTCGAGAAACAAATGGTCAAAGACTTCTTACAACACTTATCGAACATGCAGCAAATGTTACAGGACATTACAAAATTGCTGAAAGTCTGAAAAAAATATTCTTTACAGGATATTAAAGTTCGATGGATGATGTTTATGAAGTAACAAACGTGGCTTGAAATATATAATTTTTCCAAGATAATACATTTTTTCCCCTCTAATTCTAAGATTAGTCTCTCTTCGTCTGGGCGATAATTATATTTGAATACAATATTCCTAAACAATCTCTCGAATAACGATAAAAATTAGATGTGGTTCGAAAAGAAGTTGCAGAAAAACCTAATATATTCTTTGTAACTCATGAATCCTGGGACAATAATTCCTCCAGGCCAAATAGATTTCCTACTGTTGGTACAAATAGATTTCCCATCAATATCCTAGATTTTCATGTAGAAAATCATCCTAAGTATGGAATATTGTTTGCACGCCGCAATTAAATTGGAACTTCAGATCGTCCTCGTCGCCGCCTTGGCCATCGTCTCCGCCAACCCGGACCGTGAACGTCGTTCGCTCGGCTGGGGCCACAATGGCGCCGTAGTCCTGGGTGGTGTGTTACCAGGCGTGGCGTTAGCCGGACCACTGGCTCCTGCGGCCGCAGTAGTGGGTCCCGTCGCTGGGCCCACAGCCGTCATTGGGCCTTCCGCGGGCGCCGCCGCTGTCGTTGGACCAGCTGCCGGTTCTGCCGCGGTCGTTGGACCGGCTGCCGGTAACTTCCTTATCTTATCTCGCGAAACCGCTTGTAACTGCGCGAATTAACGTCATAAGCGTGAGCACTAGTGATACCTTTACACTTGGACAGCTCTGATTGAAATTGAACAGATTGGATTAAGCGGTACCATAGACGAAGACATGAAATTTTGTATGTTTCTTTGGATTAGACTTGCAACGCTAATAGAGGAGACACGTGACTTGATCTGTAAATATGTTTGAGAGATGAATTGGAATATCTTGTTTCATAGGATCCGCCATCGTCGCTGGTCCATCAGGAACTGTTATATCCCCGGGAGCTGGTGTTTTGGGACTCTGGTAGAACCTCAAGATTCTGGACTTGGATTTTAGAGCTTACAACAACTGGAACGATCTCCCTCCCCAACTTGCAGCCGATTTCTCATTCGACCACCGTTCTCAGGACTTCGATCGAAGTGCGACGTCACTGGGATTGATTCTTCGGGATATTCGCGTTCAGCATCGACGATTATAGTGTCCTGAACGGTTTCACGCGGACACGTTCGAGTCTTCGAGGTTCTTGCGTAAAATGTCTTCCATGTACTTAGCCATGCCCCTGTTACGCTTTTATACGACAATAAACGAAGCTTGACCGTACTTTCCTCTGTTTACTCTTAATCTGACCGTCTAATCCCGAGAAGTATTGTCCCGTTCCGGGGGCGAAGTTTTAATGCCACTTAAATGACCGTAAAAGTTATCGAGAGCTCGTCGTCCTCACGGGACCAGCAGTTCCAGTTTTTAATTACTTTAGATTGTTAAACGCACTGCGGCGTTACCGTGGCTCGTAGGCGCGGCCAATGAAAGGCTACGTGAAATAATGGTTTTGCCGACCGATTGGCCGTCACGGAGTGGACCACCGCGATCAAGTTGCCGCAATTTGTTCGACCAGTTAGGCGTTGGACAGGTTACGATTGTGAATGGACGATGGCGATTCACAAGTGCAACGACTTGTTTGGTACAGAAACACTGGCAGTTTACAATTGTACATGTCCATTGCTTGGAAAACATTAAACGAATCGATAGGAAATGTTTGATGAGCATTGAGAAAATATGTTGTCTTGAATTGCAGACTATATACTGTGGACGAGAAAAGTATTCGTGAATGGATGATACTAATTATCATTTAGCAATGTTCTTTTCCGTATACTACTAATAAGTTAAAAATTATTTTCTTCCGGTTATTCTATAATAATGTAGTTTCCTGCCAATTGCATAGTCTGATAGACAAGGTTATGAACTTAGTGTTATGCCGATTACAGTATTAGTAATCGATAGTGTCACCAAGGTATGAATACTTTTGTCTGTTATTGTATGTATATTACAAGTAGGCAGTGATAGAAGTATTTGGAAGATGCGGACAATAATACAACGACTCTATCTTTAATATAAATATAATATGCTGTATTCTATTAATATTTGGTACCTATAGATTAATAATAGAAATAACAGATTCAGTGTACAGAACAGTTAACTGTTGTACTAGGTAGAGTAAAAGAAACTGCTGGTTGCACGAAGTAATGTTTATTAAATCACAAATTTCCATATTGCACTCTTTAACATAATTCTCTTTGATACGCTCGATAGACCGTAGAAATTATATATACTTCCATCAGAATTTTAAATTACTAATTACCCAACTAATCAGAAGTCCTTGGTATACTGAGGAGATTATATTATAATGCCCTTCATAATTACTTTCGTCCATAAATAATGAACCAATGACGAGAATCAGAATAACGAAGAGCATTTGGAATTAATTATTAACCGGATATTCGTGGGTAATACGAATGTGCGTTAAACTATTTACAGATTATCGAGTTATCGACATATACTAATCATCCTAAACCAGAGTCGGAATTTGACGCCAAGGGTGGATTGTTCGAAGCAGTACACAATTGATATTAATATTTAAAATAAGTTTATTATCTGATAGTAGAATTTATATTACAAAAGGGAGGGGGGAAAGAAAATGAATTTCCATGGTGCCAATCGCTGAGGGTCGAACGGAATTGCTGCCAGAAGGGGGTCGTCGGGAATCGTCAGTCGCCGAATCCGAATTTTGAGCAATGAAAGTTCTCAGAATGTCGAACTTCATTGTAATACTTCAGGTCCAGTTACGCCGGGGTGTTCAGTGATGTTTACCAAGCTTTGAGTCCCCAAGGGGAGGCAAGAGCTGGGGCGGCTACAACGGCGGCTGTTAGAGAGAAATAAAACGTTAATACCATCGATAACAAAGAAATAATGTCAAGACTAATTCATCCTCAAAGGATCAAGGAGCTATTATCCAATGTAACTTTACAATTTAACATGTCCATAAAAAAATCTATAAAAGACTCTTCGAAGAGTCACATTTGATCTGTTCTCGATCTTTCATAAAAGAATCAATTAAAAGGCTACCAATGATAGAAATATCATCAAAAGATACATACGCGCCGCAAGGAGCTTAGGGCCAGCAGCGATAGCAATGGGGGCAGCAGCGATGTTGGATCCAATCCATGGGGAAGCAAGAGCGGGACCCGCGAGGATTCCACGACGTTCACGTTCCTGTTCAGGGAAAGCCGCGACGATGGCGACGATGGCGAAAAGGATCATCTGTAAAACGAACAAATTTGCTCTTGTAACAAATACTTCGAATCTAACAATCAGAAGAAAAAGAACCGTCTCTTCCTCTTCAGGCTGGTGATCACCAATGGCGATTACGATTACCCAAATGTAAAAGACGATGGAAAAAAAAATCGTTCTTACCAAGGACTTCATTTTGTTGGTTGGTTTGGGTTGGCTTGTGATTCTTCGAACTCGAAAGTGCAAGCGACTGATGAAAATCCTAGGTTCGACTTTGTCTTTTATACTCTTGTTTTCCTACCCATACAGTCCCAACCGACCATGTACGTCATTCACCCCGTACGAACACGTGTCAGGCCGGTGTTTTCCGACCGGTGGTGGTGGCCAGTGATATCGGCGTGGTGCGGTAAGCGGGCGTGGTCATACTTGAATCCGTAAATCAAGACAGCGATCTAAAACGATGAACTCGCGCGGCGGCGATGTTGCATCAGAAATCTCGATCGCGGCGCACGCAACGGGACGCGAATGTTGCAGAAGTTTCAGGCGCTAAGGCGAAACGGGGTCGCGAAGTTATTTGCATATTATACGGCCGGTGGTGGGATTTTTTTTTTTCTATTCTCTGCCGCGGTTGCCACTCGCGTTGTTGTTACGAACCTGTAGTCCGTCGCTGTAAGGGGGCGAAAAAATCGGGCACGATCGTTTAGGATTTAGGGTTCAACGATAAGATGCAATCCCCGGCCGATGTTGCGACATCTACTTTCGATTTCTGCGTGAGACGGCCTTGAATATAGCGCGACCGATAGCTAAATTGTATCGATCGCAGATACAGAAAAGCAGGAAATGCTGCCTTGAAAGTCCAGTATGAACGTTACAACATAGAAAATCAATTGCCCGTATCCATGAGCCTCCCACAGACCGTTTTTTTTTCTATTCCGAGTATTATTAGTTTGTACCCTGTCGCCGCAGGTGAATGTTATTGTTTACTTGTAAACGTTGACTATTTGTAACATTGACATGCAGCTTCTCTCTGGATCACATCCAAATATCCTGCTCACCAAGTATCTTCTCTGAAATATTTTAAAGACTCCAAAGACCTCTGGAAGAGTTGGTTAAATCACATTGCTGGTCTCGGTAAAGACTCGTCCTACAGTAGTCGTTGGAAGATATCCTCTTTCTGAACATTCCACGTCTAGAAAAGTAACTCCTAACAATCCGCTAAAATATTCAGTTCTTTGTTCTGCTCTTAATCGCGTGGAATTCATACGAGTCCTGCCCAAGAAAACGGGGCGCGGTGACCTTTTTTCTTTACTCATCACAGGAGGGCAACACGCAATGACAGTATATAACGGTTCAATCCGGTTCGAGAAGGATCAGTAACAGACGCGAATGCACACTGCTGGACACTAGAAGGATTCCGTGGAACGGACAATAGGAGAGGAACCTCACAGGGGAAGAAGAGCCATGAAGTTGCCGGTAAGCAAGGGGACGGGAAACTTTATCGTGGCTCATCGAGCGGACCTGTTCGAAGGGGGAAGATTGTTACGAAAAGAGAATCCGCGCGGTGTTCCTGATGAGAAAACTTTAATCTGTTAGTTCGTAATGCACTTTCGTGTCGTCCGTGAAATATGAACGGGGGAGGGACCGTTATCTCTGACCAATGTTCCCTGATATATAGAACGCCACCGGGTATTCGAAGCCGGTCGGATAATTGAAACGTATGGCCGCGTTCTGTAACTTTGATTAAGACGAGTAATCTATTGATTTCACTTAAATGGGATTCGCGGCTGGTAGCGCCGCTAGTGATTACCGCGATCTATTCGTCGCGGATTCTTCTTTCTTGGACTTTGTGATTCGAGGACTTTGTTCATCGATCAGTAGGAAACGTTACTTCGAAAGGAAGCATAGTATTTTACCAGAACTAATCTTATTGACGTACAATACTGTTAAATAATTTCTTATCACAGGCATTATCAAGAGATAGCGGGAGTGTTGAATTCTTTTTTGAACTTTTACTTCTTTCCTGACTCCTTCGATATCACATTCGCCGTGTCCCTCTCCGGAACAAGTCCCGAATGACTCGACTGTCTCGATTCTTCGATCCGCCAGGATTGTCGGGTAGCTTGTTCGATCAAAAGAAGAACACCGGATTCTTCCCACTGTGGGAGCATCCGTGCTGGTCGTAAAATGTTTGGCCGAATACCGTCCACGTGCTCGCACGTAAACCGTGGCGACGATGACGTGTTCATGCACGACACGTCTACAGGGAATCGAGTTATGCAAATTCGTGGTGCGTGCGAGTCTATCCGTGGCCGTTCGGATGAGACGGATTCGTGCCGGATATGGCTCTCGAATCACCTGAACCGTTCGCCCCACGATGGCGAACACGTCGGTTCGATGACGATCAACATTTAGGGTTACACTTAGTAAGTTTGGTATGATACACGGTTGAATGTGCTCTTGCCATTTATAACTATAGATCGACTTTCTGAAAGAACGAACAATCGTTTTTCTAACCCTTTTATAGACTCTAAATCATCTTTAGAGATCGAATGAGAAGACCAGTGCAAGGGGGAGTTATGCCATTAAAATGTTGGAAATGGAGATTGTTATTAAATCTGGGATCCTTTGCTGTTTAGTTGCTACCCCTTAACTTATAACTACGTGGTAAAATTCCTACCTATATCATGATTGTATAGTATATACGAACATAATATACTATGATGTACGCTACTTTTCATGAAAGTGAAAGCCGTATTATCTTGCAACGCTACCGTTGTGGCATAGCTCCCTCTTGCACTGGCCCCCTCAAATTATCTATTTCCATTTGAACGCATTGACTGTCACATTATAACAATTAAATCGTGATTTGTATTCCCACATATTGTACAGAGTAAATTTCCACAAGGTACATGAAATTCAATGAGATTAGCGAAGCTAATTGCCGTGACCGTATCCTGCTCCCGTACAATGATCGGCTACTTGTTTCGCGCCACTGGAAATTTCTATCGATACTGCTGCAAGCAAGTAACGTTAACATCCAACCGAGTCTTGTTCAGCCGTCGAAGGATCACCTTCTCGATGCTCGATGACGAACACAGACAACTATGTCCAATAATATTCATGCTCACGGTGGACCGAACGTGAAAATGTTCCAGGCATCAATTTTAATACGACTATATTTATGAGCAAGATTACGCGAAAGCATTCCAACAATTGTGTCGCGGTAGCCAGGCGACGCCGCCGCCGTCCCACGTTATTAGCGCAGATAACCGCGGGCTCGCTGCTTGTGACACTCGTCTTAATAAATCACGCCTTATCCGTTTTCAGCCGCAGTTAGTGGCATCGATTCTCCTAACATCCGTTTGCGCCGCTGGCTGGCCTTATCGTGAAATAGTGGGCGTCGAGCAATCGGCATCCCCGTTATTCGTCGCCCCGGTTTATGGAGTCGCACCTGCGGTGAGCCTGTTGGACCCGGCGAAAGAGGCTGTTGCAACGATCGTTGCTGGCCCGGTGACCGGGACCACGATTGTCGAGGGATCGTCGTCCGGTCCTGTGACCGTCGTATCGCCAGGGGATGCGATCACCGGGCTCGATAACAGTCCACCGTCGACGAAAAGTAATTCTCCATCATCCTATCCGCGATCGTTCGACGATGTTGCAAGTCCACTCTTCGATCCTACATAAACCGTGTTCATGGGACTAGACTGGATTACGAACTCGAGGTCGCATACTATCCCGATTTCTATTGCCTCATAGATATTTTACAACACGCATAAACCGAAGAATTTATCGACAGTCGTGTTTCTCCCGCGAATTTTAATGGATCCATAAGTTGAAACGTGTGTATATTCGAAATATACACGGGCGATTAAATGCTCGGCTAGGCCGAACAGAAACCGTACACCACACTAACATTTTTATTCCCTCCCGTAGATGCGACCGTAGCGCCAGCTGCGCCCGAAGATTCGGTGCTCATTAAAGGAGCGTCGGCGGGTCCGGTAACGCTGGTCGCTCCTTCCGACAATCCAGCCGCGATCGTCGATAGTGCAACGTCAGCACGAGCTGAAACAAAAAAAGAGGTTGTTGCATCGTCAGCGTCGTCGTCGGCTGGTGTTGCAATCGAAAACTCAGAAGAATCGTCGAACCCCGCGACAATTAGCCAGACAATAGGAATAGCGTCAGCGAAAGCGATAATAGGTCCCTCGACTGGGCCCGTAATCATCGTCGGACCGACAGCTCCACCAGCGCCGACCACGGTTGCTGTTCCAACAGTCGTTCCACTATCGGATGCAAGTACCAGTATCATCGAAGCATCCTCTGAAACCACTAACATCTCAATCTCCAGCAACGCAACCGTGCAAACGCTCAACGAATTGTCTGCTTCGGTCACAGGTAAATCAGCGTCACCTGTTTTCCTTTAATTCACCAAGTCTTTTCGAAAGGTAAACATACAGCGTGGGTTAACTGACCAGGTTGTAAATATCCCGTAATTGCGAACGGTTTGCGTTACGCCCGGAGACGTTTACCCAACTGACCCCTCTGTTTTCAGATACAACAGAGCCAACCGGGGTCAGGATTTCAGCGTCCAATTCGAGCCAGACTATCACGCAGAATTCCGGGAATTCCGTAGTTTTCGCGTCAGCGAGGGTAAATTTGATTACGCCCGCGGCTACGATCGCAGCCAGCGAGGTGGCCTTAAGTAACGCCGTCCTATCAGCGACGACCGTTCCCACAGCGCTCGTTTCCGGTTCCTCGGGGACCGTTTCCGCCGCCGCCACTGCTGCTGCTTCCGCTCTGCTCCTCTAGACGCCGATCTAACCATTGTACACGCTCGAACGGTCACCTGTTTCGTCCCCCCGGTTTTGTTCAGGGCGTCGCGAAGGAAGAAACGCCGATGACTCGATGCACGAAGCGGCTACGTCTAGTCGGAATACGGATCAGAAATGACCCAGCACCGTTGGCGAACTGTTAACCAAGGTTACGAGAGATAGGCAGCCGCGAAAACCGGCGGCAATTCGTTGACATTGCGTTGGCGACCGGGTCCCGAGACTGCGAAACAAGGAAGGGAAAAGTTGTGCAAGGACGACGGGGACCACGCGTAGTTGTTGGCATTGATGTCCGCCTCGCGCGCTCGCTCGCTCGCGCCAATGATCCGCGAACGACTGTTTGCATACAATCGCGGCGATCTTGCTACTTCTTCCAGGCGTTCTATCGTGTCGTTTGCATAATCGATTTTTAATAAACGAAGCAGGTTGACTGGGATTGATGGTTTATGCTTTAGTGATCTAAATGGGGTTTGGACCGTTGTATATGTAGGCTGTGGATTGTATTGTGAGATGATATTGCCTGAAATAAGTCCACGAAGATGAGAGAACGCAGGAATTCTTTTTGCTCTGAATTATCTTATTGGGTTGGAAATAAAATTGAAAACTTATCACATTTGATGAAGGTTTTGTCTTTTATTTTAAGTCACAGTTTGATGAGTAGACTGCAGATGTTTATGCATTTATAGGAAATTTTAACACGAACAATAGGGTAAAGTAAAGATTTTCAAAATATTTAATATTTATATATTAGTGTAAACATAATGAGACATTTCATGCAGGAACTAAATTTCTGATTTTTATATTTATATATTAATAAGTATATAAATCGACAAAGTTCTTATATCAATAATGCTCTAATATATTTGAGAAAATTTGCTTGCAGTTAAACGAAATAGAAGTTAGTACTACTACTAACTCCACAGTTAGTTTTAGAGTACTCAATTGACGTTTCAAAATCGTTTCAGTCATACGAGCGAGGAGATCAATGGGGTTGAATAAATCGAAACGGCGGAAGTGGAAAATTTCGGTGAATAAAGGGGATAATACCTAGCTCTGTATAAACTACAACACCATTCAGGATTTGGGTATTGTTTCGGACGACAACGCGATGGCTCTAATGAAGTTATATTTATCCCGTTAATCTAGGTACATAGCTAGCAATCGGAGCGATCAAGCGGCTGGCGCAACCTCTACTTTGGGTTAAATCATAGCAAACACGCCGAACCTAAACCATACGATTAAGTATGAAACTCAATTATTACCGTACCGCTTTCACCAGGCAAACGGACTCTGTCGAGTTGGCTCGGTGTGGATTTTGCTGTACGCGAGGTACCAAATGTTTGCTGCTTCACGTTTGAACCTCTTCCAATCATTGTAGCCGGGAATACTTCCCGCGACCGTGATCCTTTGGTATACTTTATTCGACTATCCCGAGGCGTAATCCTTCGAAATTCTCTAGCCCGAGTAACGAGCTTCATTGGACGTTTTATGAACTTTATCGTTCATGGAAATTAACTTTTTCATTGAATCTACGCTTCTCGGAGATTTTTTAAAATTAATGGACCCTTGGATGTAGCAGCCTACTAGACACAGGGAATATTTAATTGGTACAGAATTGATTAGCTGACCGAACTGAACTTCAAACGCTGCGTATAAAAATTATAAGAACTTCGGTTTTAAGGATCATATTAAACAGCGAGCGTAGAAAGTACAAGAAACCACACTTCGATCGACAAATGGTAAAGGATCAAATGACTAGTACAATATTTCTTACGAAATAATTTATACAATCTTCATTATAAGTAATAGATACTGTCCACTACCCAATGCCATAATATACATGTACAGTGTGATAGAAAATACAATTTATAATTCTTTATCGTACGATGTACGAATGAAGATTTCCATATGCATTAATATTTTAATGGAGGAAGTAGTTGTTTAAGGATGTCACTCGACGGTACATCACCGACGTTATCACTATTGATTACTCCATCCAGTGTTGAATCCAAGGATCCAGGCTGAACAGGCGACACAAATGGACGTCTGCAACCAGCTTCGATCAAAGTTCGAATATGTTTCAATTCCTGTATAACATCAGGACTCTTGGATGCTTTGTGAGAAACATCCTCTAAGCACTTTTTGCAATCCGATGCTCTAAGGATATCTAAAAAATGGGCGATGGGACTGATCGCAGAAAGTTGTTGAATTGCCTGGACAAAGAGATGAAAAACGATACTTTAATCGAGGGTAACAATTTCAAATTTTTCCTACATTGAAAATTTCATTAGAGAACCG